CTCTCTCTCTCTCTCTCTCTCTCTCTCTCTCTCTCTCCCTCTCTCCTTGGGCTGCATTCCTCGACTTCGTTCGGCTTTTTTGCATGTTCCCTCTTTTTTGGAATTTGGCAACGGAGGTGGGAGGACGCGGTGACGCAGTTGGCCGCTTGGCCGCCTGCAGATCCTTTGCGCCGCTGTCCGCGTGCAGCTTTGGTTGGTTGCACGCTTTTTTTGGCCTCGCCGTCACCACCATGCCTTTTGGTCGGCTTCGCATCGGTCACATCGATGGCTGCAAATGGCAGTCAAGGTCCCGCGGATAGACGACGACGACCGTCAATGTAGTGCAATTTATGATAGCACCACTTTCCGCCGACGCGATGGATGCAATGCCGCCTGAAGCGAGGCTGCAGATGTGTGAGTCTCTCAGCATCAAGCGATATCGATGGGCTCCGCACGCCTGCATGCACCACCACATGTTCGTTCGGCTGCTGCTTGCTCACGGCCCCAGCTCCTTATCGGAAGTGACAGGCTGGTGCGGACAAGGCTTTGCGGCGATCCGTGTGGAACTGGGACCGGTCGGCTGCCAAGAGGGTCAGCTCGTCAGACAAGCAAAGCCCGCACCGCATCGCATCGCATCGCGTCTGGTAAGAGCGGGGATCCTGAACAGCTCGCTCGCCTCGGCCATCGTAGTTCTGCCGAAACGCGGTCTGCCAAGCAAGCTTGGAGTCGAACGAAAGCTGGCGTCGCCTCCACCAAAAGAGAGAGATCTCGACAGGCGAGGAATGTCGATTGCCGGCGCCGCTCAATTTCGCCCTCTTTTCGGCGCAAATCCTCCGTTCCAAGCTGCATTCGAGCTGCACCGGTGAAGTCATGCTGTCGCACTTTGCCGCCCCTTTCATGCGTGTCGTGTCGGGCTTCGATCGGGTCTCGCAGTCGAGATTATCGCCCATCCTCCCCCGATCTCATCCTCCCCCGATCTCACCCCTCCCTCCTTCTCCCCCTTCCCTATTCGCTCATCTCGGCTTCGTTTGGTGTCGTTTGAGCGATGAATGAGATGCTGCGTGGGCGGGATAGGATACAAGTACAGGTGGGCCACAATAGGGCAAGCTCATGCTTGAGCAGAGCTGTCGGTAATGCGCACAATCTTGGAAAAGTCCTGCTGCAGCGCCCGTTCTTCGGCCTCACGCTCGTCGTCGGTGTCGAGATCGTCGACCTCGTCGGCGATGCGATCGAGCGTACCCTGGATACCGCCCGACTCGTCGAATCGCTTCTTGAGTTCCTCCTTCTCCACTCGGTCCTCTTCCACCATCTTGCGGCTGAGCTCGTTGACCTCGCGTGCGTCCGCACATCCACGATACGCGCGGATCCAGCGCGCATTGATTTTGGGGAAGTGTTCGCCCCAGCCAAACTTGGACAGCAGCAGTCGACCCTGTGCGGGCATGGAGCATACGTAGAATGCGGCCGCAAGTGCTTCGACGCAGTTGAGCTTCATTGGCTTGCCGTAGTTGACCGGGTTGGTGGCGATCATGTGCGGCAGCAGACGCTCGTGAGGGCTCTTGAGCTTGCCAAACGGAACCTCGTCCAGTCGTGCCCAGCTACACTCTACCACTGCCACGCCGTTCTCGGCAACGATGTGCGCATCCGCGGGCGAAAGCGTCTGCGTGGCGTTGGGAGTGAGCACGATGCCGCGGAACTTTTGCCCCACCCGAAGCTCCTGGATCAGCCCAAGCCGCGAAAGCTTCTTGCCCGAGCAACGTTTGGGATCGCAGTGGTTGAAGTCCCACATCGCTACTGGCACTTCGATCGATTCCACATCGCTCCCGCCGTCTACGGAGTTGCAGTCGCTATCCGCCTCGCTCGACGATCCTTCGTTTTCGCTCCCGCTCTCGCTCTCGTCTTCGCTGTGTGTAGCTTTTTCGTCGTCGGAATCAGCTTCCGACTCCTCGTCTTCGTTCTCGTCGGACTCTTCTGATCCGTCTGAGGAGCTGCTGGCTCCCTTCTTCCGTGGCTCGTCGATAGCGCTGTCGGGCCGCCAGTTGTCGTTGTCAAACGCCGAGGCGTATCGGTCGGCGAGACTCCTGCCTCCACCACGACCGCCGCCGCCGCCGCCGCCGCCGCCGCCGCGACCACGACCTCTGCCGCCTCCT